CCTTTTAGTTGGTCACCGCATCCTTTTTATAATTGGGGGCTCCACCATCGAATGTATTGTCCTCATTCCCATTATATCTTGAGCATGTGACTTGAACCATTTCAACACATGTGAATTCAATCCATGGCTTCAAGTCACTTCCAATAATGATTTGATCCTCAACATAATATGACTCCTCATAGCTTGATTAGTCTTCTTCACCTTAGCCATGGTACCTCGGTCCTCAAGCCATCACTTGCCCTTCACCTTCGCTTAGTCCCTCGAAGCCGTTTCCTTGCTATCTTCACCTTATCAAGCCATACCCAAGTCACATCATATTAAGCATCCATTGAAAAACTATTTCTTCAATAGTATGATCCTTGCTTGAATATCTTCTAGATATGAATGTTGAGATCAATCAAGCTTTAGTTTGATTCACATAAAGACATATATGAATCAACATCAATATGGTCAAGCCAATTCACGATTCCTTATGTCCTCTTCATTTTGGCTTGACACTCCTAATACTCACTTTAATATCTATCTTCATACTTTTAGCTTGATCAAGTCAATGCAAAGTGATTTTTCAAATCTTTATCCATACAAGCAAACCAATGTAGAGAATATCTTATATCCATTATACATTGTCTCCTTTGTCATTTCATATTTGCTTAACATTTCCACACTTACACTCTTGATTCATTCTTCAATCCTCTAATCCACTATCAAACTTTTCTTGTTCATGCAAAGTAAGCCATTATTGAGATCAATCCAAAATCATCAACTCATGTCTCTTTTAACATTTGCCAAATATGTTTGCTTTCTCATGATACTATGATATTCCTCAACATAGAAGCCATTTCATCAACTCCATTTGCATTGTTGTCTTTCTCTTGAACTATATTGTTTCCGTGATCTTCCAATACAACAATACACAATTTGGCCTTCATTACAACACTAAGTGGCATATCATCAACTTTGCCTTCTTGTTAAACCTATATACACTTCTCATTCCACAATCTACAAGTGTATGCAATAAACTCAATTTCCTGTTCAACACTTAGCAAACTTGTTAGACCTTTAATGGTGTTGTTATTCAATTCACCAAAACCCGCTAAAGGGCTAGATGCACTTACATTTAGCTAGAATTTAATTGCCAAAATAGCATTGTCTGTAATCCCTTTCAGACTTAGAAAAGGGCAAGGGTTCAGTTAGAACTAAACAACTACTAACACTTTTGCCACAATTTTTAAAATGTCTAAACCTTATTAATTTCAACCAACAAGCATTTCACACAATAGTCCATACTTCATATTAACCCAGAGGAGCAAAATATTTAAGCATCATTTAACTATTTTGCTCAATATAATTCACCAAAAATAGCATTTTAAACATAAGCTCAATTTCTTGCCGATTCGACGAAAATTCTAGTTTAGATTCCGGATTCAATGTTTTGGGCTTTCAAAAATACTATTGAACAACATCTATTCACCAGAACAAAAGTTACATTTTTGTCTACTAAATTTGTACTTCAAATCTTATTTAAATACTAAATACAAGTTATATTTTATCTTTGTTTATAAAAATTGCTTTCTAGGCTTAATCAAATAAAACAAGCCATTCGCTATTCATTCTCTAGAATTACTATCAGGCATTTTCAAGCACTTTCTTCACGTTTTTTTTCAAAACAAACCCCAAACAACCTTTGTTCACAAGATTATTCAAAAGTTTTTAAGCCCAAGACAAGTGGATCGGTAACACTTAATTGATTCCTTTATTCACAAAGCGAGTCACACACTAAAAAAACATATTCACATGGATTTATTAGGCCTTGACCTCTGAGCCAACGAAGGCAGTAACACCAGGGGTGTTAGAGTAGAGGTTTAGGAGCTACTATAGTGGTGGGTGCCCATGGAAAATTATAGCTAAGACACAAAAAGATGGCAATGTCAAGGTACACGAATACTAACACCATTTCAATGTTTTTACAATGTTCTTGCCCCATTATGTTGTTGGCATGTTCTGCATCAATGACTAATCTGTGACTCACAAGTTTATGCGTGTCTTGCTTTGATGCAGGTACAAATAAACAAGTCCGCCCACTAGTGTGCTCAAGAAGTAGAGTTCTGGGCAAGATGGCATCCTAGCTTGGATTATTGAGAGAGCCATTCCACTTTTAAAGGACAAGCCTGAGATGGGTGCCAAAGCTGTGAAGGAAGAGCTTGAGAATAAGTACATGATCAAGTTTCCTTATCAAATGGCTTACTATGGCAAATAGAGGGCTACAAAGTAAGTTATTTGGAAAATGGGATGATTATTTTGATTGGCCGTTTAGACCAAAGTTGAGGTGGAACTTAGATCATGTGGCAGCGTAGTTGAGATAAGTATTGTGACAGTAGATGGTCACACTCATTTTAGTATATTTTTTTTGCCTTCAAAGCAAGTGTAGATGGATTTAGAGATGGTTGCGGGCCCTACATTAGTGTAGATTCCACCGCCCTAAACGGGGAGAGTGGAATGGCCACATGCCACACATGCCTATGCCAATGCAATAGATGGTCACAATTGGATATTCCCTATTGCTTTTGGATTGCAGGAACAACATGGGAAAGCGATAGGTCCAATGAATAAGTTAGCCATTTGTACAAATGCTTGCAAAGGGCTAGAAGGTTCAGTCAAAAAGATTTTCAATGGTGTAGAATAGAAGGAATGCTTGAGGCATTTAATTGAGAATATGAAAAAGAGGTTTTCATATGCAAAATACACATGGCTAGTAGCAAGGGCATATACAGTAGACCAGTTCAACAAGTTGATGACCCAAGATAATTGAAGCACATCTGGATGTGGTGCCGACTGCAGCAACATCATGACCTGCTCTAGGCCAGACGTGGATTCTCAAAAAAGATCAACATAGGCCTCGATCGCTTCGCTGAAAAAAAACAAGCCAAAACACTTATGAAAGAAAAATACTATTCCGATTAAAAAACAAGCTGAAAAAATAGATTATAAAAAAAGCGAACAGGGCCATAGCGTTTGGTTCACGTAACTGTAACGTTACCATCTCAAGTGTGGCTACAAACAACATCTAGCTGAATGTTGGAATGCATGAATCCCAGGAGTACAAAAAGGACCTGCTAATAGATATTCTAGCATATGCTATCATAGAGACGAAACCTATACTGTTTAATAAGAGAAGAAAGATTTCTACTACTTTGTCATGGTTGATACTTCTAGCTATAATCCACCAGCTCAATACGTGTCTTCTGTATACAACCTGTATATATATACTACATAATAATAAAAAAGGATCTATTTTGTTATTCGTTTCCTGTGACCCAAATATGAAATATGTTAAAAGAAGGCTAAAATATAATAATAATTGACGCATACGAGAAGAATAAGCACGTATCAAACACCAAATCTGTCATTTACTATCAGATAAGATCTTGGGAGATATACAGGCATAAACATTGGAAAATATTTTAATGAATAAAATAAACCGGCAGGAGGCGGATTATCCATGGGCTGAGCTGTGCGGCCTGTGCCTCTCTCAGCGGCAGGCAGGTGCGTGGGCCAGGGCAAAGGAAATGGAATCCCAGCCGTGCAATAATCAGTTTACATCTCCTTTTTCACTTGTACCCACCTACTGTCATGGAATTACATTTTAGTCCTTGTTTAGAACCCTTTAAAACAGCAGCTAATTATTGAAAACTATCGTTCGGCTGATGGTTTTTTTTCACCTGATAAGCCGGCTGATGCTGTTTTGTTGTGAGAAAAAAACACTATGCCATGCCCGGTAAGTCGAGCTGATAACTTTTTTTTTGCACATAAAACCTCTAATGGAGTATTAATTACATAAATGTTTTAGCTAAGCACTTTATATTCTCCATTTTTCCTGTTTTTTTTTTTTTGGCAAGGTGAACACTGAACCATGTTTAAAATTACAAGTAGATGCACACTACTTTATTTGGTCTATAGTGTGTTTTGTATAGTTGTACTCAGTAATCACAGTATTAACGCCGTGTTAATGACCAAGCTATCATCTACTGGATCCGTTTCCAAATATCTGTCAATAATTTTGACCACTCAAACTTGATACACACTAAGAAAAATTCAAAAGTCAGACGGCAAACTTTGAACAACAATGATTCTAGTAAGCACCTCATGATGGAAAAAGGACTAAAATAAACAAGGGCGCAATAGATGAAAGCAAAACATATTAGAGAAAGAGAGAGAAAAGCCCCTTGAACAAAAAAAACTAAAACACACTATTATGTGAACACCAAGAGCGTGTTCGGCTGGACTGAAAAACACTATTTATGTATGCTGGTTTGTTACGAGAGAAAAACATTATTTCGCTTAAAAAAAAAGTCAAACAAACCGGCTTCTTGCTCAGCGAGAACAAGCCCCAAGTAGATGACCACGAATCATGGAAGACACCACGAGTCAAAATAGTGACACAGAGATAGAATACCAAAAACACCCGTCGCCGTAGTTTTATCTTCTGTTTGGTTGTGTTACCGATAAAATTACCGCAACTGATTATTATTAAAATAAGTTTCAAGGGTCGCATGCATAAACCCTCTACAAGTGTGCTCGTGGCCTCGTGCCCTGTTTGGCTCTACTATTTAATTAATTAATTGAAAATTAGTAAATCCCACGGCATTACCACGTTATTACTTCTAATAAAATAAGTTTTAAGGGCCCTATTTGCATAACCTCCTCCTCTGTATCCGTGCTGGACTGCTGGTGCTCTCTGCTCCGTCTCGGTCTCCTCACCTCCACGCCGGCCTCCCGTCGTCTCGTCTGCTGCACTCCACTGTCCGCTCCACTCTCCACCGCACTTTCCTCTCTCCTCCCCTGTTTTCGCTCCCCTCGAGACCCCAAAAGCACCGAAAGGGGGAAGGACGAGGGAGAGAAAGAAAGCGGCGGGGTTCAAGAACACCGCGACCATCCGGATTATCCAATCCCTCTCATTCCCAGCTCTTCAGTGGCGCCGATTTGGGGGGCTAGAGACGGCGATGGGCTCCGGATCTTTGCTCAAGGTCATCGCCAACAACTTCGACGTCCTTGCAGGGTCAGTCAGTGCTCTGCTCTCCCAGGCCCCATCCGTCCTTTCTCCCCCTTCCTTCATCTATTAGTTCTTTTTTTTTAATAATCCATCGCTGGAATGTTTTTTTGATGGCGCGGAGCGATTCTGGATGCTTCAGATGTTCGGCATTGTTGCAGTAGCCTTCGTGTTGTTCTTGAGATGTGTACCGGGAGTTCGTATCGGTCCGGACTTCGAATCGGCACAACGGCGTCGGTTTTAGTCGATGCGAGAACTCTTGCGCCTGACAAGAAATCCTTCTGGGAATGGTTCAGTTTTCACCTGTAAAATCTGGTCCTGTTTCTTATAGTTTACTGGATCGTGGGTTATGTCTCGTAGTGACTCTGACATATCATTAAAAAATGGGTGCACGGTTCTGGGACCAGGATTTATTAAACCTTACCTTAGCATGAATCCATGTGTGTTGTACCAAGGTACATCGAGCTTCATTTATTCACGAAGCTAGCTAGTGTCATGTTCAGTACTGATACTGTGATAAATGTTGTTATGTTTGGACCAGCATGTTTTAACGGCTCTTCATGTTACTGTGCTGTAAAATGTAAAAACTTATCTAAGCAAACAATCTATGATAGATGTATCACAGGTGGTGAATAAGTTTCTTGTCAGTTATTCATTTGCCCCCCTATTGGAGTGTACTGGTGGTTTGCTGCTACTACTCAACAATCTATGATAGATGTATCACACTTGGACTAGTGCCACTCATTTCTGAATTTACCGTTTCCTCTTTCTGAAAGTTTCTCTCTTCTGGCTCATAAGCTATCATTATGAATCGAAAATGCACGCTTTAACTTGAGTTTGTTTTGTTCGCAAAAATGAAATAAAATAAACTTGAGTTTGTTTGTTTTCCTCTGCAGGCCTTTGGTGGCACTGGCTTATCCTCTGTAAGTTGCTCATGACTTGTAATTTACTGCTAGAAACTCAACTTTTATGAGTAAAACACAAGTTTAAGTGTTATTACAACTTACAGGTATGCTTCCGTTAAGGCAATAGAGACCAAATCTCCTGTGGATGATCAACAATGGCTCACATATTGGGTGCTGTACTCACTAATAACATTGTTTGAACTCACATTTGCATCAATTATTCAGTGGTAAGTAGTGTTTGTTATATTGTTTTCAGTGTCAGTTTACTATTCTGTGTGAAAGTTGGGGCCTGTTAGTTGTTGATATATCTTAGGACTTTCGGACAAGCATTAAATCATTTACACTGTCAAGCCCTTGTACATCTTACTCTTCTAATCTTTGTTTTTTTTCTAAAATAATGTCAGACTACAGACTGTTCTATTTGAGGTAAGATAGACTGGGTTGTCACGAATCTTCACATATTTATTTTTAGTTTCGAACCAAATGACAAAAAACTGTCTGGTGATATGATTTTGCTTCTTGGGTGTCAAAACATCCATGATGTGTGATGGAAGTTGCAAGGTTTACCACCTCTGGTTTAAATTCTAGGAGTTTGCGATTTTAGGGTTTTGCATCTGATCATAGGATTTTTAATTGGAACTCGAACATATGTTTTAAAGATCATAATGGCACATTGGTCACTAAATTCCATGGCTTTCCCATGCTTGATTTTGACAGGCTTCCTTTCTGGCCTTCAATGAAATTGATCTTTATTTGCTGGCTTGTCTTGCCATACTTCAATGGCGCAGCCTATGTGTACCAGAATTATGTGAGACCTGCCTTCATAAAGAACCAGATGGTCAATATTTGGTATGTCCCTCAGAAGAAAGGCCTTTTTGGGAAATCTGATGACTTCCTCACAGCACTTGATAAGTTTGTTGAAGAAAATGGGACTGATGCGCTGAAGAAACTGGCGAATAAGGTACAGGAACCTTCTATAGTTGTCCCCACTTTGTGCACTTAACAACATTGCAGAATGCTTACTTTGAATTTGAGGTAGTTGTTCATGCTTGTTCCCAGTTGACTGTGATCCTTTGGTGATGATAATCATCACTATGTTTATGGTGACATCATTTTGATATGTGATGCATACCTTGTCTTTAGTTTAAAGTTTGATGGTTATATCATGTACTCCCTCAGCGCTAACTCATTGATATCTGTCATGCTAGTTCAGCTGTAATAGTGAAGCTAGTTGTTTTGTTGGCTCATGTGGACCGTGTGATTATTTATTTTGAGAAAACCAAGCTGAGAATATGCTTCTTTTGTTCCAAATGACAATCAGGCTATTGTTATTCTGACGTCTTGCGATCTGTATTGCAGGCTGGCAAGTCATTTAAACAGTCTGGGAAATCATCTAAAGATTCGAAAGAGTCAAAATCATCCAAGGAGTCGAAAGAAACAAAATCATCAAAGGATTCCAAAGAACTGAAGCCATCAAAAGATGCAAAGCAATCCAAGACATCAAAAGATTCGAAGGAGCCAAAGTCACCAAAGGATTCCAAAGAACAGAAGAAGGCGGCACTGAAAGATCCGAAGAAAGCACTGAAGGATTCTAAAGAACTGAAGAAAGCGCTAAAGGACTCGAAAGAACAGGAATCACTGGAAGACCCAAAGGAACATACGGCAAAGAAGGCCGGCAAGCGTGTGACGTTCGCCGAGGTGGAGCCCGAGAAGGAGCTCAAGGCCTCGAACAGTGACTGGCACCCGTCCTCCGATTTCCACGGCGCGTACCCTGAGCAGAACTCATGGGCTAGCAGCTTCATGATCTTCGAGGACGAAAACAGTTACTGGAACCGAGGTCGCCTAGACTGGTAAACACTTAACTCATCTGAATCATTTTACAGTCTTACATTACGAATGTTTGTGACGATCATCTGCCTTTTTTTGTGTAGCTGAGATCAAATGTATCGAGGCGGACATTTTTTTGGTCCGTTAGCAGTGAAAGGGCCCAGTTCATCTTCAGCTGAGGAAATGGGGTTTCACTCGCATTGTGGCGACTTGCGAGTTGCGCCTGCCGTTCCCTCTGGCTCTGTCATGTAACATATTTGTCCGACATATATACCTGTAGGTTGCAGTGTAGAATTATGCAGTGTGGATGGTGAACAGGTGATGTTGTGTTTGAGGCTGCGAACCTTGCTAGTCAGGAGAATTGAGATAGTAGCAGTGTGTTAAATCTTATCTGGTGTCTGGATGTGTTGCTTACTGCTCCTTGGTGCATTTCCATTATCTAATGGGCCCAGGGTCCATCCAATTTATTTCGCTACAATGTGCCACAAAAGTCTGACAGTGCTGAAAAGATCCCTAAAATCGTGCTAACTAGCTGTTACCAGTGCCAATTTGAACCTGAAATCTTATTGAAAATAACTAGCAGAATTTTAAGGAATTTATGAAACAGTTTAGACTAGTTATTGTATGATTCTAGCCTTCTAGGAAAACGTATTTGCGTTTTGAACTAAGGATCCTGTTGCAACGCAGGGTTCATAGGATTCCTACAGAAATTCATGTCATGAATCAGATTAATTTTACAGAAAAAACACAAGATTAAAAATCCTGCGATCAAAAGGATATGTTGACCAATTCGCAAAAAAAAAAGAGGATATGTTGACCGATGTGCGTATATTGGGCTATAAAGCGAGACGAGGCATTGCGGGCCATATAGGATGATGGGCCGAAGCCTCTTTTCTCCGGCCCAGAACCGCATCTCCGCGTGGGTGGCTGTCGAGCTCCCAGGGCGGCGGCCTCGTCGTCGTCGAGCAGCAGGAGTGAGGCCACCTCGCCTGGGAACCCTAACCTCCCATTCCCCAATCCACTCCCCTCCCCATCTCATCGGCCTTCCGCGGTCTCGACGGGACGCGGTGGAGTGGCAACCCGCCGCAGCCCGCATACGGCGGAGGCGAGGAGTCAGAGCGGCGACGGCGGCGAGCAGAGCAAGCACCGAGCAAGGCAGAAGGTCAGTACTGAGCGCCCGAATGTTTCCTCATTACGCTTGGAAAATGCGCGTTTGATTCAATTCAAGGGACCGAAAGTGTTGATGTCCGATTCCGACAGTGAATGGAACCAGTGACGCATCTTTTTCTTTGGTTGTTGAAATGTAGAAATTAGTTGAAGACTTGGGAAATGATGAAGAGACACAAGACAATGGATTTGAAGTCTTTGTGGGAAAGGTCCGGAAAGGCGCAGAAGACCGCTCCCACCTCGGCGCCGAAACCTCCGTCGATTTTGCTTCGGAGCTTGAGGTTTATTTTGCAGCAAGGGTTGGCTTTTCGGGGCATGACGAAATCAAAGACTCGCTGAACCAAGGGAATTTTCATGAGCTCTTGAAATGGTTGGCAGGTAATTTGGATGGAGCAGACAAGGTGGTTCTGCAGAATGCTCTGAACGATCCTGAGATGACTGGTCCGAAGATGATGGAAGATCTCGTTAACGCTTGTGCCAGAGAAACTACCAGGCTTATCAAGCAAGACATTGGGGAGGAAAATTTTGCAATACTTGCTTGTCTATTTACCGATGCTTGCCATAATGAACAGTTGGTTGTTTGCTTACAGTATGTCGACAAGAAAGGGAGGGTGGTTGAGAGGTTCCTTGGGGTTGTGCATGTTGAGAACATGGAGGCCGCAACAATTAAAGCTGCAATTGAATCCTTGCTCAGGGAACACTCTTTGACTTGTTCTAGGGTCCGAGGACAGGGGTACGATGGAGCAGGCAACATGAGGGCTCACGTGAAGGGTCTAAAGAAAATAATCATGGATGAATCTCCTTCCGCTCACTATGTCCATTGCTTTGCGCAGGAACTGCACTTGGCACTTGTTCCTGCTCTTAAGGAGAATGGTGCTTGTGCTGATTTCTTTCAGCAACTTGGTTTTTTGGTGAGCTTTCTTGAAATGTCTTGCAGAAAAGCTCAAATGCTTCAAGTACCTGAAGCTAAACAGGTTCTAGAAGGTTTGAATCAAGCGAAATTCTCTAGTAAAAGGGATGATCCCGGCCTGGGATTTCATTATAAAACGTGCGTACAAATTTGCATACTGTATCCTACCATTCGAAGTGTTCTCATCATGATTGGAGGAGACCATACTCACGGTGCAGAGGCTGTCAATGCTCGAAAACTATCGATATATTTTGAGTCATTTGAGTTTGTTTTCATGACACACATGTTGAAGAATGTATTGGGATACACATATACCTTAAATAGATGTTTGCAAATGAGAGACAGTTTTATGGTCAATGGCATTAAGCTCATTGATATTACAAAGCATCAGTTAGAAAAAATGCTGGGGGATGATGAATTGGAAAATTTTCTTAAAGATGTCACTACTTTTTGTGCAAAGCATGACATCAAAGTCCCTAGCATGGATGATATTTATGAGCCAGTTTTAAAACCAAAGGGGTTCTTGAGAAAAGTCAAGAATCTCCAACATTACCGTGTTGAAATTTTCACAAGCATCCTTGATAGAGCACTTCAAGAGTTGAATGACAGGTTTGATGAGATGAACATAGATTTTCTTCTTGCCGTGGCATCACTCGATCCAGCTAGTTCATTTTACCCATATAACAAAGACAGGTTACTTGAACTTGCTTGCTCTTATCCAGAGGACTTCTCAAGCACAGATTTGTAGCATCTTCCAAGCCAGCTTACACGGTTTATTGCTGATATGCGTGAGGATGAAAGGTTTAGGAAGGTGAAAAGTTTTGTTGAGCTTTCTGTTATGCTTGTTAAAACCAAGAAGGGCCTCAAACATCCTACTGTTTACAAGCTTCTTAAATTGGTGCTGGTTCTTCCCATAGCAACTGCTAGCATTGAAAGGGTATTTTCTGCAATGGATCTTGTTAAGAATAAGCTAACAAATAGAGTGGGGGAACAATTATTGAATGATTGTCTGGTTACATTCATTGAGAGGGAGGTTTTCATGCAAGTTAAGGATGAGGCCTTGGCATCTTGCTTCCAAGCCATAGTAGGTGTGTAAAGTCACAAGGAGTGTTTGATGTAGAGCTGAGGCTAATGGTGAGTAATTCATTATGGACTGAGGTGCAAGAGGGACTGTTATGGGTTTTGGTATGCTTGAAGCCAAATCCGTAAAAAAGCAAGTGACCTGACTTGGTACTTACTCTTGATGAGAGGAACCCTTGCCACATTAAGTATGGAGTGATGCTTTGCTGCATGAGCCACTATGGGCTCCCTGCCGACTAGCAGAGCAAGCTGGATGTGACCATTGCTCTTACCCCAGAGAACTACCTGTCAAGGTATCTTCAGACTCTTATATTGAAGGCAACTATGCCCAACTCTATCCACCATACTCTGAAGTTTTTTTGATGAACTACACCTTAAGTCACATTTGTGTTTGTCTTGGCGTTTTTCTGGTACAGACACTGCATGTTTTTCTCTTAATTCTGTGCAATGTTGCTCCGTATCTTGATCAGTAGCATCGTAATCAACTGTTTATTTCTGATTTGTTTTTGTAGTAGCTGCACAATAAATGATCTCTACCAGTTGTTGGTTAGTTTGGCACTGCATATTGACCCTTCTAGGCTGGCCGTTGTATGCTTTTCAGTCAGCCATTTTGTTATACTTGGTATCCAATCTAGTTCATATATTGTCTGCATTTGATTAGTGTTGAACTGTGAATCTATCAGTCTACATCATAGACAACTATGCTACAAGCATCGTCACATGCCTCTTGGACCTTTTCCTTTCTAGCCTTGTCGTATGTCATGTATGCAAGTTTCTTTGGTTTAGGGGTATAGGATCACCTTGTTTAAACTTTAAATATACTGGTCTGTATACTCTGTAATGGCTGATTATAGATTATAGTATTTTGTTAGGTTGGACTGCAACAGTCAAGTGGCCAGGTGATGAAAACACCTACAATGTCTCATGATGGTCTCCTGAAAGCTTACTGATGCAACATTGTTTTCTGATGCTAAGCACCAATAATGTCTGTTTGGAAGATTTACCCACCAATGCCATAATGCACAAATGATGTTACTCTTGGTGGGCCTTTAATCATTTACATTGTCAAGTCACTATCTTTTCTGAACATCAATAGTAGCTTTTGGATCACTGTGCTGGATTGGCAGGCAAAATTATCAACATCCCTCTTGCTTTTGGTGAGGGTCTGAGTCTGAGAAGCACATTGACCTGTCATTGGCAAGCACATTCAGTGGCGGTCCCCTTGTTAGGGTGAAAGAACCAGAAGTCAGCAAGTTGGGTGAAAGAACCAGAAGTCAGCAAGTTGGGCGGTGGCTGTGCCGGTGCCCGGTGGTGAGGACTGAGGAAGAAAGGAATGACTAATGAGAAGATAAATAGTGCGACTACTAGTTGTTTAACAATGTGTAGCCGTCTACTCGTCTTCAGATGTTAAAGAGTTGAGTGGCAGGTGGAGCCCAGCCCAAGATCTGCAGCTTGTGTTGGGTTTCAGAGTTTCAGCAGGCCGTCATTCAGATGGATGCATTGTTCATTTCGCGCTGTGTAGTAGGCTACTACGCTAGCTCAAGTATTTAGTATCTCTGGAGCTGTTCTTTGGAAGTTGGAATGTAGTTCCACTATGCTGTATAATTTTTTTTTAATACAGCAAGTCTAGTATGCTATATACATCGTGTTAAAATTGGTGATAAATATTGGCAGGTTCACCTCAGGTTCAGACACCAGTGATGCATTCATGTCTGCCACTTTGATATCATCTTAACAAAAGCATTACACAAATTACTGCTCCCATCATCTTGTTGCCTGCTATTTTTCACGGCCTCATGATTGGTGCCATTTGCATTACCTATCTCAGCTCCAATTTTGAACTGCCAAGTGAACGTCCTGATCAATGATTGATTTTCTGTTCCGTTTAGTGTGCTGTAAAAACACAATTACTGGTCCATTCATGAATTACCATGAACAGGAGGAACGCAGCAGTGTTCATGCACCTTCTGATCGGATGTGGAGGCCAGAATAATATGTATGTTATTCGAATTCGAAGAGCACCGCTGCACCGCACTTACTTTACTGCCGCCGATTTGCCAAGTTGCCGCGGCGGCGAGTGCTGCCGGAGCACGCTTCGTTTTCCAACAGGGGAAATTCGGTGAGCCGGGGCTTGGTGTGATCCTCATGACATGGACGGCCTGCTCCTCACAATCGTCCATTGCCTCCTCTCCCTTTTCCTCTTCCTCCTTTTCGGATTGGACGCCACAGGCGAGATTGTACCTCTCATAAAACTGGTGTCGTCATCAGCATCGTCTTTTCTTTTTCTTTTCCTTTCTTTCTTCCCCCTTTGCAATTGAGAAATGTTTATCTTTCTAGGGTTCTTGAGAAAAGGTAGGAGAGGAGTTTGTCTTGCTCGCCAACTAGCCCCCATGCAACATCCACAGGAGACCTTTACGTGGAATTAACAATCTTGAGAGGGGTTTTTTCAGTTGCAGGACTTGGTGATCATGTAATTATTGTGTTCCAACCACCATCAACTAACTAAAGGCCTATGATTATGAATGGTGCCATAGGATAGGGGGATAGGCACTGAGCCCTGTAGGTGGCTAAAAGATGTCTGAATGGATATACAGTAGGTTGGCAGGTTTCAGTTGTCTCAGCCTCTCAGGAATGTGTAGAGGGCAGCCCCCAGTACACATTCCTGAAGGGCTATATGGAAATATGTTATGTGACATTATGGGACAGATATCATATTAAAGATAAAAGGGCAAGAGTGTCTCATTTAGGGGAGACCATTGGCCCCTTTGGGCAAATATTAACGATACTAATAATTTCCTAAGAATGTTGGATGGACATAAATAGACAAACTCAGGTACAAGGAATAATACTAGGTTTTCAAGGCTGGAGAGGAGTAATTCTCAAATAGGTGAAGGCTGGAGAAATCATAGCATGCTAAGCAGGCAAGAAAGTGTGGCACTTGATGAGAAAAACAAAAATTACGCATGGATCCATGTGCATATATGCAGACTTCCAGGAGACGGAAGAACAAGTCATCCGAATAATGGAAGTGATGATAGCTCAACTGTCCAAGTACACTTTAGAGAGTTCCAATCTCTGAAGACAAGTTTCTTCATTAAAGGGATGAAATACAAGAGAATAAGGTCACCTGAATGCCACAGCACCCATTCACTTTACCATTTTAGGTGCAATGAGCACTCTGCTGTGGACCACAAGGGAATTGCCAAAGGCATAAGATACTGCCAACTTGTAATTGCGTCCAATGCAAGAGCACCATTTTTTTCCTTCCCAACAGGTAATGTTCGGTAATCTGCAATCATCCGTTTCCTGACACGACAGCACCAACGAAGTAATAAGCCTGCGACAAAATTTCAAAGTCCCTATCAGAATCGGTTTTTTTCTTTGTACAGTAAATGGCAAGTGAAGGATACACCAAGACAGACATGAGTCCTGAGCCGCCTTCACTTGCATCTGCCTCGGGTGGAATTGATATGTTTGGTGATGCTTCGTCTTCTCAAGGACAAGTGCAACATCCACACAAAATAATTGAGTAATTGGTACATCCTTCAGCCTGGTGAGGTGCATCTAATCTAACATTGTAGATTGTGACCTGAGAAAATTAATGAGGGTAAACGCATCATTGGACTATAAGCCAACAAAATATAGACACATCATGACCATAAAGCGGTGACATTAGCAACTACATGCACCAAAGTAGGTGCATCAAGAACAATATAGAGCAGGACAAATTCCTTAGCGATAACTTTATGCCCCATCTTGCTTTGGAGGGGAATTTCTAAAATGCCAAAACAGCAGATTTACATCATACCAACTGTGACTAAATTGGCTTTCAGTTGTGTGCAAACAAGAAGCTTTTACATACCCACCAATGATTTTGCAAAGATTATTCATAGTGCTGAAGTTTTTCAATACTAACCATAGAAACCTTCATCACCATGTAGCCACTGACACAGACACAGCTAATGGAGCACCATGTAGCCACTGACACAGACACAGCTAATGGAGCAGTTACGTTGGAGATTCTACCAACTTGAATCCCGCAGCACATATGAATGAATGAGGAATCTGTGGTTAAACAATTAGTGAAAAAAAATCAACGGCATGTAATTTAAAGAACATCTCCATCAAATGTAGTAATGGATCTGATTCTTTTTCAGAGGCTTGTCGCACTAGTTAGTAACACTATTTGTTTGATTGCTTGTCCTTTCTGCTTCTGCCTTTTCTTGGTTCTCCAGGTGAAGCACAATGCCATATACTTGTTCTGTTCTTTAGTTTGTTCTCCACTGAAATTATCCCTAGAAAAGAAGGCACTTCCTCTTCATTAGCAGGAAGATGAAACCATAGATATTTTGTCCCATTCAAAGAACATAAGCATCAACTTTGCATTCTAGAAGTTGCTTTGGGAGTAGAGCAGACTAGATGAAAGCCAACCGCTTCGTTAAATATTGTGTTCAGAGTAAGGGAGACAGAAAATTGGAAAGTTGCTTATTTCATGTCAAGGTCAAACCAATAGAAACTAGAAGTATGCAACAGAATATATACCAAAAAACTGCAATTTATGTTGCGAAGGTAATAAAAGGTAAATGAGCCAACATGCCATCAAACTCAAAAGCCACAACTTGTTAATGGGATCTTGACAATTTGACTAATCAAATTGTCAATAATTAATAGCTCTAATAGAGTACTTAAACTCAATATGATAGCATGAACTGAAAACAGCTACTCCCTCCGTCCCAAAAAGAATGCAATTCTCGTTTTGTGGGGAGTCAGACAAATTCAAATTTGACAAAATATATACAAAAAAGTAGTAATATTTATGATACTGAATAAATATCATTAGATTTATTATATGAAAAATATTTTCATAGTAAACCTATTTGAAAACATAAATTTTGATATTATTTTCCATAAACTTGGTCAAACTTAAAGTGTTCCAAATGTAGAATTGCATTCTTTTTCCGACCAAGGGAGTAATGAGTAACTTAGTTCAGATATAAACAATAATAAAGGTAAAACTGTACCAGATTGATTTTCCTTTGAAACACAGCAGATAATTTACCTCTACTTCTAATCAGCATATTTACTTCAAGCACATTAGCACAATTTACCACAACCAAGATATGGGACCAGAAAATGCTATAGTAGAGCAGCATGTGAATCATCATTGCCAAAGCAAATGCTAATGCCACAAACCTGTCCTGTTTTGGCATAGTCAGAATTCCAAACTAATGGATACAACAAACAGGACTATATCCTTGTCACTCTGAATTATAATCCAAATGAATGTGCTGAACCAAAAAAAATTCATAATTTTATGTCAAAAATGCTTCAGTAGCATTTATAAAGAAAGAAAAATAGTACGGAAAAAATGTTCTAATACTTTCTATCCTAGGAGCTAAAATGATTAACTGCAGTCCATTTTAACCATACATTGCATCCAACTGATCATATTCCAGTATTCTACTGTGTAGAACAGCAACACAAACTGGCCCAGAATAAGTATAGATTGAGTCATTTACTTACATGTTACGTTTATGGCAAAATGAACCTGAGGTTCAGATAAGCTATGCCATTGAACTAGTGGTACTTATTGATAGGAAATGTTTTACATCTTACCAAAAAAATTATAAATGTCATAACTGTTTAATGAAACTATAAGGTTCCATAATTCTAAGTGTATAACCTTCACAATTCAAGAAAGATTTAATGGCCTGAACTCACGATATATCTCTGAAACACTAATAAGAATGATCCAAATGGTCAGACTTAAAAGCAATGGCTACTAACTTCAATTCAGCTGACAGAAAGCCATACAAACATATGATATCCGATGAAAGGTTCACATATGCGTGTCCGATATGTGTCCTTCATCAGAGAGTGGGCCCAGAGCACACAGTGACAGACGTCAATCTTCTGCTCATCCTCCTATCGATTTTGTTATGTTCGAATGGGCCATTACACAAACTAAATTACACAATCACCTATTATATGCTCAACATATACATGACTGATCACCAGACCTATAAGCTCATGAAGACAATGGGTTATCATCCAACTTGTGCCCTCCTAGAGAGCAGGAATACAATGAAAAACAAGGCGCGATTCCGCGCTCGCCTAGGCACGCTTCAGCGCTGGGCGGAGGGGTAACGCCTCGCCTAGGGGGATAAGCGGAGAATAGGCGCCGTGCCACCAGATCCAGAGCCGCGCCGCCCGAGGGAGGGAGCTGCGCCGCCGGATCCATTGCCGGGCCGCTTCCTCCGGGCCTCCCTCCTCCCAATCCCATCAGATGCGCATCCGTTTGAAGGAGAGGGGAAGGGAGTAGAAAGGAAAGGCAGGCCTTGGGTCGTGATGGCGTGGGGGCGCGAGGCGAAGCTGCGGCAACGCACGAAGGCTGAGCCTGCGGTTTGCCTGCCTGCAGCCGGCCTCCACGAGAGAGAGAGAGAGAGAGGTCACGGGAAAGAAGGGAGAAGAAGGTCACGGGAAAGAAGACGGACTGCTCGGGCTGTAGATGAGATGTGGATAAGACCGAGCGATTTTGCGACTTGCCCCTCCACTTTGTAAAAAATTTCAGCAAATTTTCTTGCTATGATTTCCTTTACTGATTTCTTACATTCTAGTCCCTAGAACTTCTATTTTTTCACAAGATACCACTTCTATTGCTGTAGGAACTTCTATTTATTCAGCATTTCAGCAACTACATTTATATATTTATTCAGCTATACATGCTGAATGCAAATTTATCAAAACGCCTAGAAAAACGCCTTGAAACGCCTAGACCTGCCTAGGCGCGCCTAGGCGCTGGGCGATGGGTCACCGCCTAGAAACCGCCTAGCGCCTACAAAAACATTGCAGGAATAACATATGCTTTTAAGCATTAAAGAGATTCTTCAATAAGCATGAAATGCACTATTAAAAAGAACAGAGCCACCTTGTATAACCAGAGCAATGCACAAGTGTAAAAGGTTAAACAATAATCATTGATATTATCAATTCTCTTAGTGACCACTATAAATAAAAGGATAACGGCCAAAATAGTCATGTAGATATGGAAGAGTTATTATTCCATAGAACTGTTATCCAGAAAAAAGAATCCCTTCCCATATTACCACAAAATTTCCAAGGTACATATGAACAGGTCGGGAAAAAAGGAAAGCAAAAGTCAAGGTTTTGAGGTGTCCTGTGACATTAGGGACATGCATTAGCGCCTAGACGTAACCAGGATCTAGTGGTGTCCTGTGGTGTTGGGGTCACACCTGGACTCCTAGGTGACGCCTCAAAAACCATGGCATGCTATTGATCCCCCTTTTTTCAGTAAAACACTTCAGTAAGATCATTATACTAGAAGAAACAATGCTCTAAAGACTATGTGTAGAAGTTCCAGGTCAGTGATTTTTAAGCTATCTCTGTTATAGGAAACAAAGCATGGGAACTCGCTTGTACCGTTTCTTTAATACTGATATGCTTTTAAAGACACTCCTACAGCTTAGGTACTGATATGCTTAACTCATCGTTGATGCAAAGCAATCAACATCCCTTTTTAATGAACAGAAGGATATAAGATCATTGTCAACAGAACAAACAGGCACAAACTTTGACACTCATTACAGTAAATAATTGTCATTTCTGCTCACCACTTAAAGCATCTAGTTCAAGTCAATATAGAATAATTTCAACATTGTATCCATACAATATAGACTGACTACAATACACCATGTTCAAAACATTATGTAATGCATCACAGTAGTATATACTAACGTTGCTGTGAATTATTTAGAAAACCTCAAAGCTAGAAAGTCATAATTCAAAAGAAATGGTCAGTTAATCAAAATTATTGCAAGTCTAAATGGCAACTAATGTCCCAAGACATTCACTTGTTCCAGAAGTAAAATGTTAGTTCACAGATGACCAAAAGCAGCTTTCCACACTCAAGAAGCCAAATTGAGATAGAATTAACATTATCAGACACAATAGGTAGGATAACAAGGCACTATTAATGAGTACACATACTCTACAAATCTTCCAAAACGAAAAAAAAAAAAACATTGCATCAAACAGAAGGTAATGATTCACAGTTGCCTCCATACACAATTAACCAAGAAAAGACAAAGGGAAAGGCAACAATTGTCAACAAAGACATATTTCTTTCTTCCTTTATTATTTCTTACAATCTATGGGCAAATGATTTGCCAATGTAAGGCTATTCTCTAGAGCTAAAAAACAAAAAAAACTTTGATCAAGGTGCCCAGGGAAGATCAAAATGTTAGGCTGCACCAAATTATTAATCTAATACTGCACTGCATGTCCCACTTTCCGGCAATCAATTGCAGGCGCTCCAAATGGAATTAAAATGAAGAGATTAGACATAAGCAAGTAAGAAGCTACATGAGAAGTTCTATCGGATCTTCAGCTTATCCTAAAATGCCAGTGGGCAGAAGTTACCCATCAAGGAGTAAGCAGACTGAGGAGAATTTGCCTTCTTTATCCTTCCTTTTGGTCAAGATGTACAGTTGATAATGTATAGCCCTGGATGTCAACAACTCATCACAGCACAATTGTACACAAAGCTTCCGGAACGGCGGGTGCCAATGATCTTCCAATCTGGCGGTTCATTATTGGGTACCCAGGAACAAATTTCAATCACCCCGCCACCACCAACACTCATTGCACCAATTACAATGAGCATATCTCCACAACTACGGAAAGCAATGCCCCAGCCATGAACTGATGTATACCTCCCAGGTAACAATCCAAGAGTGATCCAGGCATTATTTTCCTTGTCATATTTTCTAACCTCCTTTGTTGCATAGTCAGCAGCATAAAGTTCATTATTCACAACAGCAACAAGAGGCGGAGCACCGCTTCCACCATTAAGGCCCTGTGCCATGTCTGGGATCAAGCGCCAGGTGCCGTTCTCCAAATCAAACTCCTCAGCACAACTAAGGACCTCATTGTGTGTCTCAGCTTTCCCACCAATGACATAGAACTTGTCATCCATGAAGAAACCAGAGCACATCTGTCGTGCCCTGTTCATGCTTGGAAGAGTGGTCCATGTCTGCATCTCAGAATCATAAAGTTCAGCAGAGCTCAACGCACCATTCTCACCAATACCACCAGCCACAATAGCCTTCTCACCGAAGTTTGCCGAGCCAAACAAGCACCTCGGCGTGTTCATCATCTCTCCTGTCGTCCAAGAGTTAGTCAGAAGGCTGTACCTCAGCACAACATGGGCTTCCACCCTCCTCCCAAAGACGAGGATATTGGTGCCCACGGCCAGGGATTCCTTATCAGCAAGCGTGAAGCACTCTATGGGAGGCATGGAAGGGATGCTGAACCACCTTTGGCGGCACGGATCAAAACCTTCCCACTCGAGCACATTGCACGAGCAATAGATCATCTGCTCAACGATCCTAGCCTCCCTCCTCAACCTGTAAAGCTCCCCGAACCTCACAAGGGAATAGAAAGAGCGATTAACACAGGCCACATCATAGTAGTAAGACCGGGGAAGACGGAGCAGGCATGAAATCGCCAACTCCCTGCCGATCCCGCCGATGAGCTCGCTCGTGTTGACTTCAACTTCACCACTCTCATCAGCACCCTCCATCTCAGAAGCCCAAGATTTGGCTGCGGGACTCCACGAACCACCGCCAATCTTATTCTTCTTCTTCTTGTTGTAACAATTCACCAGACCCTCCACCACCTGCCCACCTCCCTTCTGCGCCCACCCCACCTGCAGGCTCTCAATCACACAGTTCCTCCTGCTCACAGAAGGAAGATCTTCAGAGAGGGTCAAATCAGGGGCAGAGCTTGATGAGCTTGATGAGTCCAAGGCCGGTATCATGCGCTGGTCCCCCAACATGACCTGATCAGCCTTCGAATTTGGCAACCAATCTACAGTAATCCTTAAGGCTGCATCAATCCTCCGGCAGCCAAATCCACAGAAACCAACAGGAAACCGGTTGCAGGGGCGAGGGCGGGCGCAGTTAAGGGCATGGGTGTACGCATGTACACCTGATAATTTTTTGCAAAAGGAAAAAAAAAACGGGAGTCAGTAGGCTTAACGCATGTATACACTTGAATAAGATCGAATCCGGATACAAGCAGCTTAATAATTTACGGATTGGGTGCCCGGTTTCGCACAGCGGGAACGGAAGGGGAGGGGAGGGGTGGGCGTACCTGGTGGTGCTCGTCGCCGGCGAAGGGGGACGAAGAAGACCTGTCGGAGGGTCCGACGTAGACTGGGCGGCGACGGTGGCCGCGGGCGCCCAGTCGTCGGAGGCACGGGAGAGGGAGAGGGAGAGGGAGAGGGAGAGAGAGAGAGCTCACGCGGGCGGCGAGGGGGGAGGGGGGAATGGGAGAAAAGCAAGGGCCGCAGCCCGCAGGGAGAAACGCAGACCGGGGTCCGTGTGCGCTTCATTATATCCCCGTCTCAGATTTATAGATGCGCCTGCAGCCTGTTTAGGGCTAAGCGCACCCAGGAAAAAAAAACAATACCACTTATCGAATCATTGATTATTCTATTCTAAGCGGCAAAAAAAAACAATAAACTAATTTTGTGTTTTTTCCTCTCTTATTAATAATTGTTTTTTTCTAAAAAGCAAAAAAAAAAAAAGACAAGCTATCCTGACTATGCTCGGTTCTCCCCTACCCGCTCGGTGCGCTGGCCTGTCAGGTAAGCGAGTTTGATGATGCAGCAACGTTTTCTTTAAAGAAAAAGAGTTAAGAGGTGAGTTTCGTGGGGATAAAGGACGCAACCCACTCATGGCTACATGTAATTGCTTACATAAAGGGGTAAACTATTATAAAACTAGAAGGATATCTCGCGTGTTGTTGTGGGACTCTGTTAGAAATAAAATTGTTGTACATATGAGTTAAATCATCTACATGTTTTTACATCCATTCTTATCAAAATTGGTTGCACGACGAAATTGAAAGTTAGTGAGATGATGTGGATAGTTAGTGGAAGATAATGTGGATGGCTTGCATGTTAAGATATAACTTGTAGTGGGAATTAGCTTTATAAGAGATATACATAATGTTAGTAGATTGCGTGGTACACTGATATGGGCAACTAAAGGGGATTAGCTTTATAAGAGATATAGATAATGTTAGTAGATTGCGTGGCACACTGATGTGGACAACTAAATGTAGTGGGGATTAGCTTTATAAGAGATATAGATAAGAGATATACATAATATTAGTAGATTGTGTGGCACGTTGATGTGGACAACTAAATGCATGTCAGAGGATGATGTGTCTTGCTAACGTGCATCTGGTAGTGGGCTGCTAAGGTGGATACCTTGCAATCGAGATAGAACTTCTAGTGGGGTTTATAATTATAATATATAAAATATAGAATATATAGATATAGATATAGATATAGATATAGATATAGATATAGATATACCTCTAGCTTTAATTGTCGGGGATAGAGTGGTGATATGTGGTTGTAAATACTAAGGATAGGTCATGTGTATTCCATGTTGTGTTTGTAAAATATTGTTGATGTTTTGGAGTGTGTGTTTGTGTGTGGTGTGTTTGTGTGTGTGTGTGTGATGGCAATATATGTTGGATGCGCACGAGTGAGATTTCATGTTCTTTTATGGTAAATATTAGAGTCTAGGTAGGTAGGCTACAACCTTTAAATTACAACTTACGGTGAAATAAGAGATACGTATAGTGTATATTGTATATCAAGGATTTAATCTTTTCCACACTTTTCTTTTACTATTAGAGATCAAATAGGTAGGTATCCATTCAACTAAATCATGATACCAATGTATGGAACATAAAAAAAATTATATGTTCATGTTGCATCTTTCTATGAAACCTATTCCTCTCTCAACCAAATGTTAATATTGCAAATGGTTATAGTTTATATGTGTATCCTAATGCTCAAAATCCATGGCATGATACCATGCTAGCTACAACAACTTTATCATAGATGATGAGTAATGGACGCATCCAATGTATTTACTTTTCTTCAAATGGTGTTATGTTGTGTGATGACTTAATTATTCTAGACAAATGCTGCAAAGAGGTTTGTGATAGCTTCAAATGAAAGTAGATATGTCAATTTGTAGTCAAAGACAGAGTAGACAAGGGGAATAAAGTTGAATTATAACATGTGAAAAGGAAGAAAAGCTTGAATAAGAAAGTAATAAAGAACTAAATGATGGGCTTTGGAGGATTAATATACCATACATGACAGTGTGATGGGGTCTCCTAGTAGAATCTCTTGATGGGTGGAGGACTAGGGTTGTTAGTTTTGCCGCTCCCTGCTTAAGACCCTGTCTCATCTCGAAACTTTCGATGAGTTCAAGCGTGGCCTGTGGGGGAGCAATATGCAGGAGCAACTAGCACATACATCCATGTAAGTCCCATTCACATGGAGATGCAGAATGGCTTCACCACTACCCTACCACTCAATTTAAGATATGAAGTCATCGAGGATGGCACTAAATAGAAAGTGAGAGGACCCTGATTAATTCCAAACACATGATATTTGTGAGGGGATACAGGATCCACCTGTTTTGGGTGATAGTTGGTGGATGCACACGTGTTTCACCCATTTTGAGGTAAAAATAAATGTCAAAACCAAAATTTATACAAAATATCTAATTCTTAATACATAAAAACTTGCTCGCTTAGAAAAAAAACAACCCCATAGCTTTGCAATAAGTAGAAACTTGTGTGAAACCGAACAAGAAAAACTTTCGAAACACAACCTCACCCTAGGGTTGTGCTATAACCTAGGCCAGTGACCACTACTACTATTGGTAGGACCACACAATTGCCATAGGCTACTGCCTACTATTTTGTTTGTGCCACGTAGGGGATTTTTGTTTACAAGCCTAGATTTAAATCCCGACTAGCTACTACCACTACTTGCTGACCAACAACCACACTATTAGTGTGTTTTCCTAAGCCCTAATAAGTAAGAGCCATGTTTATTTTTTTTCACTTTTGCACCTCCACCCTCAATACAAGGATTTACCAAAGGTTTCTGGAAACCATTACTCTCAAAATATAACTCCTATAGTTTCTCAGTATGCAAGTAGATCAATACAACCCTTCTAATTCTCCGTTATACACTATTGTTATCATCACCCACAATGGTAAAATACTTTATAAACTGTAATAAAGAAAATAAATTACTAGGACCTATGTTGTATAAACCTCACCTAGTTTTGAAAGTAATTATGTCAACATGTAGTGGAGAAATTATCTATGTTTGTACATAACGTGACATGTAAAGTAACATTCTTTGATGAGAAAATGATCTCTTTGTATCTACGACTATAGCTAGAGTGTGTAAGTATAATAAGTTGGGAACCTGTATTGTATGTGGATAGCATGAAGCTACTTATATTGTCCATTTGTCTTTGTGAAGCCATAATCTTTTAGTGAATATTGTCCATCTAGTGCATGCATGTGTACACAACAGATATGAAGGAAATATCAAGAAACCATAGGATTGGGCAATTGGTGTTTTTTTCTCAAGTGGGGTTCCACTTTTCGAAGAATTTAAGAAGTCTTTTATTATTATGAATAAGATGTACGCTCCGTCAAAACATTTAGTGTATGAGCTTTACATGAATTTGACCTACAAATAGAAAAAATGGTGTCCCAAAGGGGCGTTTTTGGTGTTTGCATGGGCGTTTGATAGGATTCCAAATTCTCATAGAAATGTTTTGGATCCAGAGGTTTCCTTTAGAAATGTTTCTCTGATGAATCCCTAGGGGTCAGGGTCGGTAGATCGTCCTTCTCCACTGCCTTTATGATCAAACGCTTGAGGTGCATCCATGGAGGCAACTTACAAGTATCTAAGGTGGTTTGAGGTTGGGGGGGGCGGGGTCGATCACCCATTACCTCCTAGCCCCTACATCTTTCACATGTAAGTCGTGCCTCCCAGTTGGCTTCATATCATATCTCTCATATCAAACCGTCATTGAATCCATACTATCATGAATAGCCTTCCAGTGTGAGAGTGAACGAAGAGAGCTGGAAACTGATACACTGTCCGTGTTGATCATTTTTTTTATTTCAGGATGGTTACACAATGCTTATTTATTGAAATCGATACAATAAGTATATAATAACACATCATGGAATATTTTTGACAGAACCCCAATGAATTTTTAAATATTCGTACATAGGAATAACTAACGTCGTCTTTGAATTCTGGTCACATAGTAATAATAACACTCGTGGACTTGTTAATTAGCATCATCGCTAGCGACACATTTTGATTTGCAAATATAATAATAACGCAGCTGACGAAAGCCAATCCGTCACGGCGCAGTGTTTCCAAATGCACACTCTCATCGATCACGTGCTAAAAAAAGACCAAGCCGTGCATGCATTGCACCAAGAAAAAGCAAGTCCGGAAGGAAAAGCACGAGTAGAACACATTTCTGCTTACGCGGCCGCGGCCACCACACGGATTCTTAGCCCAAAGAGAAGACACCGTTAAGTTCCCAGCTGTTTCTCACTGCCAAGCTAGTAGGATCGGAGTAGGTTTCTTTCTTTTCATATCATATCATGTACACTTTCCATGTTCCAAAATATTATTCCTATACATAGTTTGTTTTGACTTTGTCCTATATAATAAGACAAGCAAACTTCGCTAGCTTGGACTGAGTTTTTTTTAAAAGGTACTAATATAACACGTAAATTCTCCTTGAAACATGTATATATTTTGACAGTGCGTTTATTCGAATTTGTACGGAGACCGGCTCTTTGCCGAGTGCCAGTTGGTTTGCCGAGTGTTATTTTTCGGGCACTCGGCAAAGCGGCCTTTGCCGAGTGTTTTTTTGACACTCGGTAAAGAGGCTCTTTGCCGAGTGTTTTTTTTAA